GCTGATTTTTGTAATTTTAGTAGAGACAGGGTTTCACCATGTTGCCCAGGCTGATCTTGAACTCCTGGCCTCAAGTGATCTGCCCACCTCGGCCTCCCAAAGGCAGGAGCCTCCTCACCCAGCCTATTTATTTATTTTTAAAGTGGCTGCTCCTAGAAAGGTATACCATGTTTCTGGATGGGAAGGCTTATTAATTCACCCTAATTTCATATATAAATTTGATGCAATCATAGTCACAGTCCCACTGGAATTTTTTAACTTGTTAAGATGTTTTAAAATTAATATGGAGGTCTAGGCAAGTAAGAATATATAGTAATACTGAACAAGATTAATGAGACAACTTGAATTACCAGGTATTGAAACACTGTAAAGCCATAATAATGTAAACAGTATGTTATAAGCATGGTAATTGAGGTCTGTGGTACAGCAGAAAAAGTGAAAAAAGAACAACTGTATTCATAAAAATTTAAGTGTGGAGTCACTGGGGGAAAGGATGGAATGGTCAATAAATAATGTAGAAACAACTCAATTATTTGGCGAAATGTAAAGTTAGAGCCTTATCTCATGCCATATACCAAAATACTATTTAGATTTGATTTAAAATATATATAGATAATGAAAGAAAAGTTAAGACCAGGCACAGTGGCTCACACCTGTAATCCCAGCACTTTGGGAGGCCGAGGCGACTGGATCACCTTAGGTCAGGAGTTCAAGACCAGCCTGGTCAACACGGCAATACCCCGCTTCTACTAAAAATATAAAAATTAGTTGGACATAGTGGCATGTGCCTGTAATCCCAGCTACTCAGGAGGCTGAGCCAGGAGAATGGCTTGAACCCGGGAGGCAGAGGTTGCAGTGAGCCGAGATTGTGCCACTGCACTCCAACCTGGTGACAAGAGTGAAACTCCATTTCAAAAGAAAAAAAGAAAAGTTAAAAATCTAAAAGGAAATAAAAATATATCTATTTAATATAAGTCTTTTGGGAAAATCTTTCTCAACATAATACTAAAAGTTAGAAAACAGAATGTTTTTGTGTTTGACCATTTAAATACTAAACCTTTGAAATTTAAATAAAAAAAAGAAAAACTAAACAAACCAAAACCTTTTTGTTACAGGATTAGGTCTTAGATATTTTCAGATATATTAAAATAGAGAATAAAGTTCCTCCTGGATTCTGTTTAGAGTTTAACTGGTCTTGGCCAGACGATGGGAAGGAAAGGAGAGGGAGCTGTGTGATGGGCAAGCAGAGAGCTGGAAGGTGGAGACAGATCTCGCCTGGCCTGTGTTGCTGCCTCTCCTGACAGTGCATCTTATAATAAGGGGCAGTTGAAAGCAGAAGGGGAAATAGCACAGAAAGGATACATCTGGCCTTTGCAGTTTTGTGACCATGGCAGGTCCTGCCAGTCACTCAAAGCTCTGTAAGCAACTAGCTAGGGTACCCCCATCTGAATGTGGGTGCAATGACTCATGCCTGCAATGTCAGAACTTTGGGAGGCTGAGGCAGGAGGATCACCTGAGCCCAGGAGTTCGAAGTTGCAGTGAGCTGTGATCATGTGTGCCACTGCATTCCAGTCTGGGTCAAGAGCGAATTCCTGTTCCTGAAAAATAAACAAACAAACAGCAATGCAATTTATTGTAGGTGGCACACCCCTGATGCCCAGTGTAGTTCTGGGTAGGCTTCTTTCTCATGCATATGCACCTCTCCACATTGTTCGTGGGTTTTCTTTTGTTTTGCCTTCCCCAGATTACGCAGGGAAACAATAAAGTTTATATGTAATGTTTTGTAGGCCACTTCTATAGGAAAGCTTTCCTCTAAGTTCTCATAGAAAGGGAAAGCAAGCAGTAGTGAAATTTCTGCAAGGTCCAAGGATTCAGGGCAGTTTATTCTGAATGTAGTTTGGGCGCTGGAGACAGAAATAGGAAGCAGTAGAATTGCTAGGTCACATTGCCATTGCTACACTGCCTTCCACAGGGATGCTACCCACTTGTAGTCCCCCAGTAATGTCAGAGTGTACTCCTGACCACACTTTAAGCAGCACACTCTGGCAAATATTTTGATCTGTCCGTCGGATAGGCCTTCTGGCTGTAATCCTAATTTACATTCTGTGATCATGACTGAGAGTTATCTGAATTTCCTTTTCTGGGAACCAGAGAGCAAGTTACAGCTGGAGCAGATCTTAGAGATGAAGTCCGGCCATTTAGCCTACAGCTGAGGAACCCATTTGACCATCATAGTTGCTTGGGTAGTTCAGGACACCAGGTCTCCTGTTGATCATTGAAGTTCTCTGGGTGAATGTAAGACAGGACCCGTCAAGGCCTCAGGCACAGCCTGGGGTTTGAGTCTAGAACGAGAAAGTCTGGAAGTTGAGGATAGTGCTGCAGTGCGTTGGCTGTGAGGCAGGGTGATTCACCCTCCCTGAACTCCAGGTGCTTTGTCTGTTAAATGGAATTAATTCTAGCTTTTTTTTTTTTTTTGCCAGGATTCTGAGGATTAGGGTTAATATGTATGAACTAGCTGATCTGGAGAGGCTCACATGAGAACAGATCCCTCCTCACATTTGTGTGTTCTGTATCACTTATGTGCAAGCTCTGAGGCCTGAACGAAAGTTCTTAAAAACAGAAGGAAAGCACAGCAGGGTGTTGGGGAGGGCATCTCTGTGGGGCCTCCAGGTAGCCAGGGGAAGGTGAGCAGAGCGTACTTGCTGGCGACCCTCTGCTCCTGTGTCTTCACACCCCCTCCACTTAGTGCAGGAACTCCCACCCCACACACCACCTACGGGTCAGCTCTCAGTGTCTTATCCTTTTGAGAGTTTTTAAAATATGAGACAGAGTCTCTCATCTGCGTAAAAATTGTTGTAAAAAAGAGAGAGAGAGAGAGAGATAGGGAGATAGGGTCTCTGTCACTCTGTGAGTGGCATGATCATAGCTCACTGCAGCCTCAAATTCCTGGGCTCAAGCAATCCTGCCTCAGCCTCCCAAGTAGCTAGGACTATAGGCGCGTACCACAATGCCTGGTGAATTTTTTAATTTTTTAAGTAAAGAGAGGGTCTCACCTTGTTGCCCAGGCTGGTCTCGGACTCCTGGGCTCAAGTGATCCTCCCACCTTAGCCTCCCACAGTGCTTGGATTACAGGTGTGAGCCACCATGCCTGGCCTTTCTGATATATTTTATGCATAAAAAGACATCACACAGGCCAGGCGTGGTGGCTCATACCTGTAATCCCAGCATTTTGGGAGGCCAACGGTTGATCACAAGGTCAGAAGTTTGAGACCAGCCTGGCCAGCATGGTGAAACCCCATCTCTATGAAAAATACAAAAAAAAAAAAAAAAGCCGGGCATGGTGGCATGCACCTGTAATCCGAGCTACTTGGGAGGCTGAGGCAGGAGACTTACTTGAACCTGGGAGGTGGAGGTTGCAGTGAGCCAAGATCGTGCCACTGCACTGCACTCCATCCAGCCTGGGCAACAGAGGCAGACTCTGTCTCAAAAAAAAGACATCACACCTATACTGCCTTTTCAGGATCTGAGAAGAAAGTCCACTTTCTTTGTCACATTCTGCTTTTTGGAGTTTTTCTTCTAGCAAGTCCCCTTTTTCAGATTTTTTTCAGGAGATGTGAAAAGGCTCCAGGCTACAAAAGGAAAGGCATCATGTGTGCTGGTTAGGTCATGAGACCCACTCTCAAAGCAGGAAGGAGGAATGGAAAGAGAGAAGGGAGGGGAGTTGCTGAAAGCAGGCTGTTTTCGACACAAAGCCCATAGGATCACCCATGCACCCTTCCTCAACTAGTCCTAAGGTTGCCGGGAGTCAAAGTTTGGTTTTGTTTTTTTGGGGAATGGGGGTGGTTATTTCACCATCATTCATGGTTATCATCCCTGTGTTTAACCAAAGAGAATAAGGTCAAATGCTGTGCTGGGTCCAAGGGCAGGGGTTGCCACAGCCTTCCCTTTTCAGAGGCCCCTGCCCTCTGCAAGCTAGGAGTGGTCATCGGCATTGGCTTCCTGGACAGCCCATGCAGGTGGAGGGGCTGGAAAGGCATCTGTAGTGCATTTTTCATCACCTCTGGTTATCCATTTGCCTGCCCTTGCCTGCCCAGTTTTAGTTAAAATACAGTAGCAATTCTAGTGGCTCTAAAAGATGAGGGAAAATGTTAATCTTTACAGGCCTCTGTTCTACTGCCATTCTAGTGTTTCTCCAGGGTGCCTCCCGACCATCTGTGCACATTTACCTGGATACTTGCTAAAAACGCAGATTCGTGGCTTCCCCTCCACTCTAGGCCTTCTGAATCAGAATCTGGGAGCAGAACCCAGAAATATACATTTTCAACAAGAATCCCAGGTGTACAATAAAGTTGGGGATCCCTGGTAAGCCGTGCAGTCGCTGTCTTCCTTTTCCTTCCCTCTCTGGTCTCCCGTCATCTCCCCTTGCCCCTCCTTCCTTGCTACCCCTGCCCACCTGTTTGCCCCTCCTTCCTTTGTCTTAATGCTGAGGGTCCAGAGTGGCTTCTTGGACTGTTCTTTGAACATATTAAATTGCAGTCCTCTGGAAACTCAGCTAGGAAGAAAAAAAAAAAGTAAGGATGTATTTCTTATTTCCTTGCTTGTCTCCATTTCCATTAAAAAAAAAAAAAAAAAAAAAAAAAAAAAACAGATTAAAAAGCTGTCCTCTTCAGGCACCAGCTCTGGGAAGTGTATCCGTCCCGTGGAGGCATCACGACTGTAGCTGCTCTTCCAATGTAGGCGATGGACCTGGAGTTGGAAATGCCCTTCTCTAAGGAGGCATTGCTGGTGTGACATCCCAGGGAAGTCAGCCACCGCCAGCCCCAGGGTAGTCACCAGCCTGGGTACCCTGGCTGGAAGGCACAGGTGGTGAAGGCATTTGGGGAAGATGAGACCGATGGGACAGGAAGCAGTGGGGGAGCGTGGGGTGGCAAAGTGGAGTGTTTGCATGGAGTTTTGGCAGGTGCCACCAGGGACTTGAACCTCTGCTTTTGTCTTTACAGTGACCAAAGGAAGAGACCAAGATGAATACAGAGGTGAGTTCTTTACACAGACCAGTTTAAGGGATGCTTTTCTTACTGTGTCCTCCATTGCTCCTTTGCAGGGTCTCCATTCCCTTTCAGAAACATCAGCACAAACTTAAGAACACTTCCCTTCTAGCCTACCGATGTGCACATGGTTCTGGGTGATGCAGGAAGAATTAGGTCCCTCTGAGTTCTTATCTGTGTCTATCCAGCTTCATTCAAACTTACTCACTGCAGCTAATCCTGAAACAACACTCCAGAGCTCAGGCTGGCAGCTCAGGGTGTGGAGGGTGCCGGGTCCAGATCCCTGCTCTGTGTTATTCTGGAGACACCTCTGCATTGTCTCCTTGGTGCTCTTCAGTTCCAGTTCTCTGATGCACGGAGGTGTCTAGCTTCTCATCCCTTTGTTTCTTCTTTTTGTTTTACCCATCAGCCCCTTCCTCTGTTCACTCCCTCCCGAGTGCAGCTGAGACCTTGGGCCTCATCCCTTCCACCACTGCTGTGCTGATGCCCACTGTGCTTTTCCCACTTGTCCTGTGTATCCACCATGGCAAACCCAGATGCTGTCCCCACAAGAGGAGTTCCTGGGCAAGTGAAACAGCCTTGTGCTGTTTGCAGCTGGCAGATGTCTCAACACCCTCATCTTGTGCTCAGCACCACCCGCCAGCCTCCCTGTTGCTCTAGGTAGCTCCTTGCCAGTGCCCTGAATGCCCCAACTCCAGGCTTCATCCCTCTACCTGAGCTCTGTCTTCCTCGAAGCTCCCCCTCATTCTTAGCATCAAAATCCCTTTGCATTCTACAGAGGAAAATGTAAACATTCCATCCGACGTCATCTCCCTCAATTCCTGCCTCTCCATTTGTCCTGTTCCTCCTGTCACAGTGCAAGGGATGTTTGTCAGTGAGAGAGTTCCAGGTTGTGAACACCAGAAAGCCTGACTTAATGTGGCTTTTTCCTGGAAGTCCAGGTGAAGGGCAGGCTTCAGGGCTGGTCGATCCTGCAGCTCTGTGACTCCTCAAGGATCCAGGAGCTTTTCATCTCTCTGCTCCCCACCCAGCTGCTGGTTACCTGCTTGGGCAGGTCCCCTTGTGGCAGCAGGATAGCTGCAGTGGCAGTTGGGGCCATACACATTTGCATTCCCTTTCATCAGCGGGAAGAAGTGGCTTCCTGCAACTCCTTCAGAGGGGTGGGAGCCTTTTTTAAGCCCCATCAAATGCCTCCTTCGGTCGTATTGGCCAGCCTCAGATTCTGGACCCCAATGTGTCTGAGGAGCAGGGATTTTGTGATTGGCTTCACCTACTCAAGCCCATCCTGGAGCAGCTTCCCCCCTGCACCAGGCCTGGGTGTGGGAAGAAGAAAGGGGGAAGTATCCCTGTCTGGTATGAGACATCCCTGGTCCATCTTCATGCTGCTATAAAGAACTGCCCAAGACTGGGTAATTTATAAAGGAAAGAGGTTTAATTGACTCACAGTTCAGCATGGCTGGGGAGGCCTCAGGAAACTTAACAGTCATGGCGGAAGGCAAAGGGAAAGAAAGCAAGGCACCTTCTTCACAAGGTGGCAGGAAGGAGAAGTGCGGAGTGAAGGGGGAAGAGCCCCTTATAAAACCATCAGATCTGGCGAGAACTCTGTCATGAGAACAGCATGGAGAAACCACCCCAATGATTCAGTTACCGCTTCCTGTCTCCTCTCTCGACACACAGGGATTATGGGGATTACAATGAAGATGAGATTTGGGTGGGAATGCAAAGCCTATCCGTATCACCTGTGATGGAGTACCCTCCCCTGCTCTGAAACGGCACACTCCGCCTGCACAGACCTTCCGCTGCCTCCTTAGTTACCTCCTTTGCCATCTGCATCATCAACCTAACTCCCACTATCCTCATCGATACCTCAAAATGCTTTCTTCAGAACAAACCACCACCACCTCACATCTTGTCAAGCGACTACCTTTCTCATCCCCTGTGAGCATACTTCTCAAAAGAGATACTTTCAGTTAATTTCTCCATTTTCTCTTCCTTGGGTCATTCTCAGCCTGTTGCAGTCTATTTTTGGGTTTCTCCCGCCCCCCATATTATACTTAAATGAGTCTTGTCAGGGTCAGTGATGATCTCTGTAAATTTTATAAAAATTTATTTTGTAATAATGTAAATACATGTTCATAGTGCAAAACTCAGGCTACAGAATGGAAAACAGCCAAAAGTAAGTCTCCCTATTAGTTATCTTAACCAGCCCTGCCCCGCTTGGGACTGACTTTTGGTAACCACTTTGTCGTGCCTCTCACCTCCTTATCTGAAGGCCCTGTGGGTCACCCTGTGGCTTGCTCGAATTCTCAGGATCTTCTAAGTTCTAAAGAAACAATAGAAACTTTGCATTAATACTAAGCTTATACAACCTGGCCCAGGAAGAGTTCCATCTGTCATCAGTGATCACTTCTGGCCTTTTCCTCTTAACCTTGTAAGAAGATTCCTAGACTTCAGTCTTCCTCTGCTGTTCCTTACATATCTCTTTATTTATTTATTTATTTATTTTGACATAGGGCCTCACTCTGTTGCCCAGCCTGTAGGGCAGTAGCATGATCTTGGCTCACTGCAATCTCTGCCTCCCGGGTTCAAGCGATTCTACCACCTCAGTCTCCTGAGTAGCTTGGATTAGAGGAGCGCCACCATGCCTGGATAATTTTTGTATTTTTAGTAGAGACAGGGTTTCAGTATATTGGCCAGACTGGTCTCGAACTCCTGATCTCAAGTGATCCTCCCACCTCAGCCTCCCAAAAGTGCTGGGATTACAGGCAGGAGCCACCACGCCCAGCTGTTCCGTACACATCCGCTGCTTGGTGTCAGACTGCCTTCTCCCTTTTCTGTGCAGTCCGCTGCAGCCTGACTGTTCTCACTGCTCTATGTCTCAGGGAAGGTACCAGTGAGCCCCACATTACCAAATTTGGCAGAAACTTTTTCCTTAAGCATTTGACACTGTTGACCACACTTTTTTTGAAATGCCCCTTGACACCCCAGGGTTTCTGCCTGTTTTCCTGGGCCACTTCTCAGAGTCCCTCTTCGGCTCCTCTTCTTCCTACTCCTTGGGAGTCTGTGTTCCCCAGCGTCCTGCCTGCTGCCCTAGGAGCTGATCTGCTCCCACAGCTTTTCGTGTCACTTGTGTGTTTGGGGAAGTCCCAGATGGATCTGTTCACACAGGCACCTCCTCAGCTCCAGACATGTACATCCAGGAGCCTGTCACTCCTCTGAGTCATAGCTGCCTCAGTCAGACCCCAAGCCCGTTACAGCCCAGGCTGGACATGCTGCTTTCACTTGCCCCAAATCTGTTCCTCCTGCTGGGCCCAGCACTCCAGTCCCCTCACTCTGTTCCCACACACCAGCAGCCGGTGACCAAGACTATAAATCCTGTCATTGCTTTGATGTCACCGAAATTCATGTGACACTACACTGTGCCAGACTCTAGACCTGGCTTGATGGCTGTCATGGTAAAAATGTAAGTGTGGTACGAACGCCACACTTCTCGCTAAGTGAGACCACCATATCTTTCCAATCTGTTCCTTTCTTCCCCTACTTTCAGCCTCCTCATCACTTCCTCATTTACCTAATTCTTTTCTCCTCCTCCTTTACTTTCCTCACCCTCCTCTAAGGTCATTCACTCTCCTTTTTGGAAGGCGGGGGAGACCTCAGGCAGAGCGATGGTCCGCACGCCCAGTTCCTGACACATTGCCTCTGTTGTGCTGTGCAAGGCCCTGCTCTCAGACTTATTTATTTTTATCCCTTTTCTCTCCATCCTCATTCTCACCCTGTCAAAGACAACTATGCCAATGAATTAAGTGTTTTCCTTTTTTATTTGTGTATGTTCATGAAAAATTTTGTTTTTGTTCAAATACCTTCTAAATTTATAGACAGTAGGCTGGGCACCATGGCTCACGCCTGTAATCCTAGCACTTCGGGAGGCCGAAGCAGGCAGATCACCTGAAGTCAGGAGTTTGAGACCAGCCTGGCCAACATGGTGAAACCCCATCTATACTAAAAACACAAAAATTAATCGGGCATGGTGGCACATGCCTGTAATCGGGAGGCTGAGGCAGAATCACTTGAACCCAGGAGGCAGAGGTTGTAGTGAGCCAAGATCATGCCATTACACTCCAGCCTGGGCTTCAGAGTAAGACTCTGTCTCAGGAAAAAAAAAAAAAAAAAAAAAAAAAAAAAATTGTATGTAGTAAAATTGACTCCTTTTTTTTTTTTTTTTTTTTTTTTTGGTGTACAGGTTTACGAGTTAAAAATACATGCATAACAGTCACCCCAGGATATCAAGATGTAGAACCTCACCCCAAAATATTCCCTTCTGTTGCCCCTTTATAGTCACAACCTCTCCTTGCTACTGACCCCTGGCAACATACATCATCTCCTGTGTGATATACTTTTTTTTTTCTGAGACAGTCTCACTCTTGTCACCCAAGCTGAAGTGCAGTGGTGTGATCTCAGCTTACTGCAACCTCTACCTCCCTGCTCTAGCGACTCTCCTGCCTTAGCCTCCCAAGTAGCTGGGATTACAGGTGTGAGACACCATACCCAGCTAATTTTTGTTTTGTTTTAGTAGAGACAGAGTTTTGACATGTTGGCCAGGCTGGTCTTGAACTCCTGACCTCAAGTGACCCACCCGCCTCAGCCTCCCAAAGTGCTGGGATTATAGGTGTGAGCCAAGGTGCCCAGCCTGACATCCTTTTAATGTACATAATTATATTTTATATCATTTATATCTCATTTTTCATTTTTCTACATGTTCACAATATATAGTTAATGTGCTACACAGAAGGCCAGAACGTGCATCCATTTAGTCTTAACAAAAAGCCTAGGATCAAGATGCTATTATAACCTGTTTTGTAGATGAGGAAAATGAGCGGTAAGTCAATTGCTCTAAGTCACAGGGGGTTAAGGGGCATAATGGGGACCCAAGCCCTGATGTTTTTGACCCATGAATTCCTTTGTCCTTGTCTGCATCTAGCTAATCCCGT